CTCTCTTCGATCATCTTCGCTTTTTTAATCGGGATATCCCGCGTGCTTTTTCTGTTTCATGCGCTGACCGGGATACGCATCTCGCCCATCCAGGATCCAACGTCGGTGAGTACGGGTTATTACGAGTATGCACGTATCGCGAGAACGTTGCGGAGAGGCCGACACAGTGGAACGGACTGGAGCCAGGAGGCTGTTGCTCACCGGCAGTTAGCACACGAACGAACGGGTTTCTTTCCCCGGTCGCGGACCGGCCGTGATCGATTCGGCCAGCAGCCCGAAAAAAGGTCTCGCGCGTATCGCGTTTCGCTTATTGCGACCCGCAACGCGAACTCTTCTCCCTGTCCGTGTCTCTCTCTCTCTCTCTCTCTCTCTCTCTCTCTCTCTCTCTCTCTCTCTTAACCTCCACCGTGTAAAAAAGTAGAGCGAACGGCAGCCCCGAAAATTCGGCGTTTCACGGTTACCGACACGCCGCGCGATCTCGCTCTTTCTTTGCCCGCGCGCCGAGAAAAAGCCCGAATGAATTTCTAATTAACACATTGTCGTCCGTAAGAGTTTTAAAAATTTTACGCTCGCCTGACGCGGCACTCCTTGACGCGAACTTCAACGCTTCTTTTCTCTCCTTTTTTTCGTCCCCTTTTTCCCTTTCATACTCGACAGCGCCGCTTGATTGAGTTCTCCGCTCGGTCCACTCAGTCGGACGGTTTCTTGCCGCGGCGATACGAGGCGTGGCGTGTGGAACGAAACCAACGCGTTTCCAGATTTACCTCCGCCGCCGTGTGTTCGTGGCATACATTACCGGTCGCACGAACTTTTTCCGCGTACTATGCGAAATCCTTTCGTTCGACCGGGGGCCGTGCTCCCGTGTGGGTATCCAGAGGGACCCCGAGGGGAGCGACCTTAACGTCCGCTTTGTGTTCCATATGCATCGGCACCCATCGACACCCGTCTCGGCCACTCGTGCGTCGTCTGCCATGGGACCGGCGTGGAATCCAGGGCGTAAGTAGCATACAAATTCCTACATTCGAAATTGCACGTTATCGATGCGTCCCGACCTCGTTCCAGGCGCGTCATTAAGCGTCGCGCCTTCCTCCCGTCAGCGTGTACACACGATCCTGGCATGCGAACCAGCGCAACGGTTCACCGTTCAGCGTATGGACGTTCAACCGAACGGTGAACAAACAAAAACGCGACGAAAAAACGCATTTACCGGCACGAATCGATGATTTTCGATCGCGAGATGGCCTCCGATGGCATCGCGTGAACGCAACCATAGGTTATTGAATCCTATAGTCGCGTAACGAGTCTGAGAACAGGAGTGAGACAGGCTACGTTGCTAATTACTCGGTAATAACGATCCTCGAAGCCAGCACACTGTGGTAGATTCGCGGAGAAGCCTCGACCTCGCGAGAAGAAGGAGCACGCGATCTCTTCTCCGGTATCTACTCGCGGTCGCTAGGCTCGCGATAAATCAGCGGCGCGTTCCCAGCTGAAAATTGCGATCAATCGCGACAATAACATCATACGCGGCGCAAAACACGAGGATCGTTATCGTACGTTTGTTTCCCGCGGCGGATCCGTTCCCGCTGCGAGAGCTCGGCCAGGCACAGCTGTTCTTGTCAGTATCCCGATGCATCACGATAAATCCAGGCGAGCTCCTTTTTCGTACGGGGCCTCGATGCGCGCCGCTCGAGCCGAGCCGACGAGAGCCAAGGCTCGCCGCGTGTGTCGACCACGCGGTCTCGATCTCGTCCGGACGATCGGGTAAAACCGAGCGAGGGCACGCGTGTCTTTTCTCATACGGCAACCACGGCATAATCGCGGCATCGAGGCCCGCGGTTAGGTCTCAATTAAGCCGCAGATCTCTATCGGGGACACCGAGTCGCGAGAGATCATCGCTGCCGATTGCATAATCACCGGCTAGACGTCCCGCGATTCCAAAATTATCCCGTCCTTTCCTCCGATTCCTTTCCGATCCCGCGAGATACTATCTCTCGGGGGAGATTCAGAGCGAAACTGTCTCCGCTTCTTTTGGGACCATCTGTCCCGCTCGCAGTGATATTCAACGATATCCAAACGATCTTTTAATATCGTACGTAGTTGCGATTCGAGGATACCACTTGCGTTAAAAAGACGTGTCACGCTCGTCGTAATGCTTTCGTCACAGAATCGCCAACGACGTGGTACACGCGTCGTTAGGCAATTGTTACAGAAACGCTGGATCGTTCTGACACACGCGTTTGCGAATTTCTTGCCACCGCAAGTGCTTAAATGTCAAGGACAGGAGGGTACGGTGAGAACCGCCTTTAAGTATTTTCGCGATATTTACGTTTTAAAGTTATTCGAGAGAGTAATAAGGCAGTGGGAAGGTGGTGATCGGATTTTAGAGATGGAAATTCGGGGGAATCGAAATAAAGATGGGAGAATCGGTATATCGACACCGCAAGTGGTTAAATGTCAAAGAGAGGAGGGTACGGCGAGAATAGCTTTCTAGTATTTTCGCGATATTTACGTTTTAAAATTATTCGGGACAGTAATGAGACTATGGGAAGGTGGATCGGATTTTAGAGATGAAAATTCGGGGGAATCGGCATAAAGATGGGAGGATCGGTATATCGACTGGGGTTTCACGCGTGGAAGTTTGTAGCCGTGATCGGCGGGCACGAAAAGTCGAGGGGCACCGTGGTCCCGGGGCCTGGAGGCCACGAATACGAAATGACGGGACGGATATCTGACGTCTCTATAGCAGTAAAACGGCGGGCATGCGTGCCACGGCGGGGGTCCCGAGACGTCGTCGGAGACATCGGGCACCGCGGGCGGCCATTGTCTCAAGGGAGTCCCAAGGGCGAGGCAGGAAGGGCCAACCCCGGCTGACACGCACGAGGGGGTCGCCAGCGCCCCGCCGGGCCCCGAAACGAAATTAATAACCGAATTTCAAGTATTCCTATTTCGGGGCGAGGAGTTATCGGTCGGGGCCACCTGAGCCTTGCCTCTCTCTCGCTCAACGGTCCACGCAGAAAACCGATGTCACACCCACGCGATCCTCGGCCCGAAAACGAATGTTATATCCCCGGCTGACCAGCGGCTGACTTACGGCGCCGATAAACCATATTTACGGCGTAATCGTTAATTAAAATATATCGTCGCGGCCGCGAATTCGCGGAGGACGCGCGAACTCGTGTCCAACGGGGATGTTAATGAGCCTGGTCGACGTCTCAGTTACCTCTCCTTTTATTCCTTCAGCTTTGCCCGCGCTGTCCGCAAGCGCGTGGTCGGGTTCCAATGTCGTCCGATAGCGAGGCGTGAAGATCCTCGATCGTTGATTGATCGGTTCACTCGAGGAGACACGCTCTTTCGTCCACTTCATCGATCTTCGTAGTCGCGCGAAAAATCCACCGCACAAATGGATGAATAAAGAGCAGACCATGTAGGCAGGAAAATTAATTCGTTAATTGGAATAATTATTATTATAATACGTAGGAAATTATGGGAAAGAAAAAGGGGAAATAATTCAATTCTGCTGGTTTCAACTAAAAGAATATATATTTTGTATAAACTAATATGGCGGCGAGGCCTGGCAAGCTGACTGAACTGTCGCGTTCCTGAAAGATTGAAACATATACTAGTGCAAGTTCAGGCTGATCCTACGTTACACTCATCGCCGTTGCACTTTAACGTAATATTATTAACCCCTTCCCGTATTTTGACGAGTCTGACTCGTGATGATAATTTGGCCCAAACACGAATATCACGAGCCATACTCGTGAACGGAATATTTTTCTAAATGTAGTTTTGAAACTGTCATCTGTTATAAAATATATTAGGTCTACCGAAAAGTTCTGTCCATTTTTGAAGTAAAAGAAAATAATACATTTTCAACAAATTTATTTATATTTATCTAACAATATCATTTTCATCGTTACTTATGACCACTTCCCTGGATGATGGAACTAGGTATTAAATCTGGAAAGTATAGTGAATTCGACAAAACTTCGAATGACATTAACGGACAGAACTTTCCGGTAGGCCTAATAATATATTTGTGATACTTATAAAGGGAAAAAGGATTAGAGTCTAATTCTGCAACAGTAGTATCGCGTAGAACTGACTGTATCACGCGTATTTACATTTCGGCTCGTATTGCGACTGTTTTTGAACCATCAGTCTGGTCTGTTTACCGCGCGTTCCTACCGTTTGGGTCCGAATTTCGTCGAGCTAAATAGTACTGGAAGGGGTTAAAATTGAAATAATTATTATAATTAAGTTATACTGCAGCCTTTACGCGCTCAGACCAGAACCCTACGTCGCGTAGATCAGACGAATCTACCCCTAACCCTAACTGCTAAGGGTTGACGCGATCGTTTCTCAATTTTTCACTAACCTGTCACGAGGAATTTTATTCTTTTATTCTCCGCCATTTTTTCACGCCGAATTCAATCGGGTAGCCATCGCTCAGCCGGCAAATGGCCGCCGGAAATTCAGGAGAACTCGCCTTTCCGTTCAATTCGTCCGGAGGCGCACCCACCGTGCAACCTCTCCGAAATGCAAAATTTAAGGAGCGTAATTCTCGGCGAGCGGCCGACTGGCTTTTTCGCGTAACACGATCGCGTTCCGAGCAATTTGTAAAACAAGAATCACCGGTCTCGCGTACGCCTCGGCCTCCGGATCGCGCGACCTTGCCTTTTTTCAACGCCGTCCGGTGTATCGCGAGCGGCGCTATAAGCGGGCAATTAAAAGCGTGCAGCAGGGACATTTATGTTGGCACTAACTGCCCGTTAAGACGAAGGAACCGCCTAACCGTGGAAGGTGTAATTGGCCGACGTGCTGAACCCGCAGCTCGTAAAACAGCGGGCGTGCCTAGCCGAGTGCCGCAGTTTTTCCACTCGAGGTCTACGCCGCCGCCATTGCGTCTCGCGGTACCCTGAATTTCCGATTAATCCTCGCACCCACGGGTCTCGCCTTTTTCATCCTCTCTCTATCCGCGTCGATTTTTCTCGCGAGATCTCACGACCTTGCCTACTCTATCTCGGGCGCCACTCTCGATCGGCCCCCGTTTAATAACCAGCCAGCTTAATTAGAGTACCTAGACTAGCACGCGATACGCGTGCACGCGTTCGATGCTCCGCCATTGATAAAAACTCGCGACGCGACCGGGAATCTTTAATAACCACGATATTCGAGTACGTTAAGGCGCGTTTGCAACGCTTGTTCCACTCTATCCCGCGAGGTTAATGTAAATACGGAATTCTCGAATTTTTTTGAAAGATTGAAGAATTTATTACATTACCCTAATGCGAATTTATATCAATTACTAGGTGGAAGCAAGTCATCCGAGGTACCTGGTGTGCTTCTTGTGAGATTTCTTTCAGATTTTCGTCATTTTTTGACATAGTTACATTACAGTTTCATAGGGGCGATAGACGCTTCCTCTCTGTAGGAATTAATAATTTCGCAAAATTTACCGTATCATAATTATCATGCACACCGACATAAATGAAGACAATTTTACTCCTTAGAAAATATTAAGACAGAAATTCCGAGCGAATTTTAACCTTTTGTACTCGGCGATCTTTTCGTTACAGAAACATAGTAATTCGAAAACTTTCTACCGTAAAGTTGCCGATATTTTCGAAACGGTAAATAAGAAGTGCAAATTAACAATAAGACGTAGAATTATTTTTCGTTGGTCAATTTTAAATCCGAGATATTAATTAACAACGATTTTTAGAATCCGATTAAATGGCAACCGAGAGTCGCCTCTCGAGTGCAAAGGGTTAAAGATTCGAAAATTCATCAACTACCACGCTCTAAGGGTTAATGGGCCCCCCTGGCAGGAATCTTTTCAATCGAATGGGAATTCGATTCATTACCTTAATACAAATTTATGTCAATTACTAGGTGGTAGCAAGTCGTCGAGAGTACCTGTTGTTCTCCTCATAACTCCATTTAGGATACACCTGAAATACCCATTGTTTGAAATTTTCCTAAATTTTGACATC